TAACTGCCTGTTAGCCATCGAATTAAATCAGCTTCCCTAGTTTGGTACCCAGAGCCCCTTGCCTGGACCTGCAGTCAAACCACCCTTTATCTGTGGTCAGCTTTCATTGCTTAGGATGGAGAGCTTGAAGAACGAAAGGATGGAAGGTGTTTTGAGGGGTCAGTGCGTGGCCACATGGTAGCTTCAGGCCTCTGGCAGCACAGTGCATGTTGACAGAAGCATGTGGTAGTGGTTGTTGAGAAGCAAAGAAAGGAAGCCTGAGTCTGAATAACTCCCTGAAGGACACACTTCCAGGGACCTAGCTTCTCTCCCTTAGGCCCCCTCCTTTTTTATTAAAAGAGAGAAAAAACCCCAGAAAAATAAAAAAATAAGCAAAAAACAACAAAATGACAATAACAACAAAAAACAATAGCAATACAGGATTTCAAAACAAGATGACAGGAATTTAACAATGGTTGTTGTATTGCGTATCGTTGCCTTCAGAATAGTTGCTCAGAATACCAGATACAGGCATGCAAGATTGATCAAACAATATGAACGCCCTACCATGATCCGGAGACTGGATTTAACATGTGCCTCTGGAGGGCGTGGACCTTTCAGAGCCAGGCCATGACACTCCCTGGTATCAGACTTTCTTTCCCCCATTCCACCCTCATCGAGCCACAGCTGTCTGAACTCTTTATGCCAATACGATGGACGTTCTTCCAGTTTTCCAAATACGTTGTGCTTTTTCATGACCTGTGCACAATTTCTTACCTTTTTATGCCTCTAAGCTCTCCCTGTTCCCGTCACTCCTGTCCGCATACCTAGAAACGCTTGCTCACTGAGCTGAAATTTACCTTCTCACCCCTTCTCAGCTCCCCGGGCGTACACAGGCCTTAGTGTAGTGCCTAAGCCACTGCTTTTCCAGTCATCATTGTTGGTCTTGCTTCGAGAGTCACTTTAGTGTGGTCAGAGCATATATTTAACTCCTTTTTAAATAATTAGTTAAAACACATAAGTGCTTAATAAAGTATCTTTAAGTAAATGAGTGAGTGGTATTTAGCAGATACTGGGTGTGTTACCTTAAAATACCTCATGTATAAAATACACTGATTCAGTACTACATTCTGAGAAGCTGTCATGTTCCAATGTCAGTGTTAGACATTTTTTATCTTTAATCCTTAAAATGTCAGTGCAGAGTGTATTATTATTCTCACAGTGATCCACTTTGCTTTTGGGAAGTTATAGATGAGGCTGTGCAGGTATAAAAAGGCCAGTGTTAATATGCTTTTTCCTCCTCCTATGCATATGGGGCGTTTTGTCACCTTACTGTCAGTATTTTCCAGGCTTTCCAGTGGGTGAAATGACAGCATGCCATGGTAAGAACACGGCACAGTGTGGGCTGTCGTATGGGCCAGAATGGACGTTGTACATTGATAAAGAGCAGTGTGTAGGACTCATTCAGTGGAAACGAAGATGGGAAGAACTGCCTTCTCGAGAAGCTCCGCAGCTGCGCACAAAGCGCAGGACTCATCCTCAGCGTTAGGGGCTCCCGACGGGGATGCGTGGGTAGCGCTGGCTTCAGCCAGGGCTTGTGGAATGGTGGAAGGAAGTGGAGACTTGGGCAGCCAGAACCAGCTATATTAACAAGCAGCCCGAGGGCTCATAGCCCTTTGTCACAGTGACAGCTTTGGCCCTGGTTGCTTGGATGACACCCAGCCCACTCAGACTGCAGGTCGCACACAGATGAGACCCACTGCTCTTTTGTCTCCTTCAAGGCTGCCCTTGATATTCAGGCTAGCTGCTCCCCCCACCCCAATCTCAGTTTAAAAGTGCTTGGGTGGAGCCTGCATGGTGAGGGGTCTGACTCCTGTGAGCAGTTCCTTTGTGCATGCAGTAGCATCCTTGAATGCTGGATGAAACTCACCAAGCATGCCTCATTTTTTTTTCCCTTTTGAAATTTATGTCCTAAAATAGAGTGGTGCTGTTTTAATTCTGAAATTCTCTGGTGCTTGTTGGGGGTGAGTTTGAGCACTAGGCAAGAGGAGGGGATCTTTATTATAAGAACTGTTTTCTAGGGCAAATCTAAGACCCTCAGCAGCAAAGAATCCAGGCGCAATATCAGTTTAATGTGAGGATTCCTGGCCTGTCCACTGTCACAGAGCACCTGGGGGCAGTGTGTAGAGAAGTACTTGTCATGTGAGATTTTTGATAGCCATAGATCCGTGTGTAGTGATTCTTACCAGGAAGATGAAAGAAAAGATAAGCTTGGTTAAAAAAGAAAAACTCCCCTCAAGAAGAGGATATAGCCGTGTTTCTAGAACAGGAAGTGTGAAATTGTGTAAGTGACGTAAGACATTTAGGAAGCCTTCCTTCAGATGCCAAGTGAGGTTTTGTTTTTTCATTTTAATATTTTTTGTATCTTACAAATAATTCTCTTGATGGTTGCAGGCCTAGAAAACTGGTAGCATTCAGAAATATCACAGTAATTGTTGTTTTCCTGACAGGCTTGTAGTCTTCAATAATTACACAGAGATAACTGTATGAAACGGCTGTCAAAACCCGAAGACTGTATTTAAACATCCATCGTTTTGAGGATTGTTGGTGACCTGGGCATATTTCCTTCAGATGGCTTTGTCTCCCTGGGTCACAAAGCCCAGGTCACTCACGGCCAGGTCAGTGACTGCACGTTTGGAGTAACACCCAAAGGTGCATGGGGTGTTGACAGACAGATCCTTTTTCCTTTAAGCTTGGGCAGACAAAGAGGACTCTCAGGGGTTCGGGACGGGTTGTGTAGGCTTGGTGGAGTGCAGTCAGCCCATTGGCTTAGTCATCTTAACTATTTAGGTGGATTTCTCGTAAGCCATCCCAACAAAGCAGACTTGTTTTTTGGTTATTTTGTTTTTGTTTTCTTTTCTGTTTGAATAACTGTACTGCTTCCGTTTCTCCCTGGACATGGACTCTGGGCAGGACTTCTGTGTCCCAGTTTTCTCTTTTCACTTTTGTTTAACCGTCTTGGAAAGTCCTTTCACTGGGCTCTGTCCTCTGTTCAGCGGGCAGCAGGGACAGCTCCCTCACGGCTGCGCTTCTGTTTGCTGTTTCTCTCTTCATTCATCTTCATCGTCTTTTTCCTTTGTATTTCCTCAGTATGGCGTTGCTGTGATAGAGCTTAGCCTGAAGGCTAGTCATTTGTTAAATGTGTGCCTTCTTGAATGTTCCTGAATCTCTCTGCGTTCCCTCCTCTTGCAGTAATCCAAATGATACGCGTAGCATTTGTGGTGCAATTCGGGATATTAGTTTTGTGATGTGGTGAGAGCTTGGAGCCTCGGGGGCAGCCTGCGGGGGTGCAGAGAGGGTCTGTTTTCCCATGTGAGGCTTTCGGTGGTTGGGGTGCATACTAGTGACGCCTTTTAATTTTTTAATACTCTCTCGTTTTAATTTGGTTGTGCTCCATGTCTTGGTCTTACATCATACTGTAATCAAGATTTCCTTTGTTCCCTTTTTAAAGCAATTTTTTAGGATTTATTCTTCTCAGGACAAATCAGCACCTAGCTGTTGATGGTGGCTGCGTCACCAGCTGGTGTGGGTCTTCGATTTGGTGATAATGGATATTAAACCTGAAATAACAATATGAGTTTAATGGCGAAAGGTTTAATGAAAAGGTAAGAGAAGATGGAAAGGAGCACAGCTCTGACAGACGCAGCCATCCCCAAACAAAGGAACGTGAGAGAAGACAGGACGCAGGTGGAACCGCTGGCCTCCAAGGGGGATCAGAATGGCTGTTCACAAAAGGGAGACCGGTTTAGTGGGCTGCTGTGGTCCTTGGGTCTGGCCAACCATTATCAGTCAGGGTTTGGCAGCCCTGGAGGAGTCCTTGTGGCTTGAAGGTCCATCCTCCTGAGATGTCTGTCACCGCTCAGGGCAGCCTCAGGCCTGTGGGGCTCTGCTGGAGTCCGTAGCCTTCAGCACTGGAGATTTCTGGGTGTAGCTGAATGTCCCTGGAAATCTCTTATCTTAGTGTCCTCAGTGTTTCAGGGTACTGAGATAGGGTAGGTAAAGTTAGAGCTCATAAACCGTGTTCTGCCAACTTTTAGGCAAATTCTTCCTAAATGACTAATATGTCTATGTGCAAAACTAAGAAGCGATTTGACCCTGAATCTGTTCCGCTTCTAGTTACCTGTTGGGCATCTGTAGGGCCTAATGAAGAGTCACAGTTTTTAGCACACAGAAAAATTTGCTTTTAGGTCTTTGCCTATGAAGAAAACATAAGTCATACATTTAAGTAACAGCAAGTTAGGAACCCAGAGTTGTCCTCTGTTCCCACAGAGAGGGAGGATATTGAGAACCCTTCATGTGACTCAGGTAACCTCTGGTTGGGTCAACTCACACCCAAGAACAATGGAGCCAAATTAACGCTGGCCTTAAATTATCCTAGTAAGTGAGAAATATTCTTGCTACCACAAACCACTTGTTTTATTTTTATGACCACCAAATTTTTATCTTTGCACTGAATTGATACCAAAACTGTCAGATAATATAAACAAACCAGAATCATAGGTACAAAGCATGTGTTAAGATGTTAACAACTCTCCCACACAGTGGCTTACTTAGACTTTCTCTCTCTTTTTCTTTCTTTTTGTCTTTTTAAGACAGGGTTTTACTGTTCAGTCCAGGTTGATCTTGAACTCACTTCAAAATCCAGGCTGGCCTTGAACTCACAGTGATCCTTGTGCCTCAGCCTCCTGAGTGCTGAAATTATAATCAAGTGCCACAGTGCCCAGCTTGGAATTTCGTACTTGAACTTTGCTGGAAAGTTTCTTTTGTTTCTTCCTTTTGGGACAATTCAGTACTTAGTGGATTTAAAGGATTTTCATACTTTTGTACTTTTAGTATTCACATGAGAAATTGATCAAGGATATTTTAGGGAGATTTCTAAAATAATAGTGTTGAAGACAAAGGTTACTCTGCTGTTTTAAGTAGTATGGCATTCAGGTAAACCAAGTAGACCAAGAAAGAATATGTTTTAAAAATTTTTATTTTAAAGACAATAAAACTAAACAAAATAAAGTAAAGCCAATCAAAACAAAACAGTGAAAGTGATACAGGACTTCAAAACAGGATAATAGGAAATCAACAATGGCTACCATAATATATCTTGTTATCTTTAAAATAGCCGCCCATACCATCAGACAGAATAAAATCAAACAAAACAGAACAGAATAAAACCAATCAAAACAGAACATTGAATGAAAGAAAACAATAAAACAACAAAATGAAATAGAACACTATTAAATTTCAAAAAAAGACAGAAGGAAATCTCCTATATTTGCTGTATTGCATATTGTTACCCTCCCAGTAGAAGCTCAGACAACTGGCCTTAGGCTCACAAAGTCAACCAAACAGTCCAAGCATTGAGTTGTTTTTGTACCTCAGTTGCTAATGACTCAGCCTGTGTTCCTCCAAATCAGCCAGGTGCTTGGAGGGTGGGGAAGGGTTGGCTCACAAGAAAGGTGAATGGGCTCCTTGTTTCTCCTCCCGGGACTTGCGTGGCTTTTGCCAGCTCACAGGAGGGACCCAAGAAAGAATATTTCTTATCAAGAGTTTGATACTCATTGGGAATTTTTTTGTATGTCCTTTTGTTGGAATATCAACAAAAGCTATCAGTTGAGTGCTGTTGGTAACTATGTGTCGGGTAAAATGAATGCAGGCATTTGTCTTAGAGATTCTGTGAGGAACAGATGCCCTCATGTAAGTAGAAGGCGGAAGAAAAATACAGCATAGTTTTAATCTGAAACTAATTCTTTTTGATGAAGTTGAATTAAGTCTGCTAAAATTAGGAACACAAAAACAGGTTCTTGCTGGCATGGAGACACAGCCTGCATTCTTGCAGGGCTATGTGATAAGCCTTCCCTTGCATTCCTTACCTGCACTAAAATTAACAAGCTGAGAATGGTTTGTAGAAATCCTAAGAAAGACTGGACCCTAGGATAGAGCTGGAAACTTCATCTACAAATGGGTTTATTTTTGATCAGTGGGCTAGATAATTAATTATTGGAGGTGATGAGTATTTGTTTGATGGATCTGAAACTTTGTCATATTAACCAGATTTATCCAAGTAGATGAACATTGTACATTAACATATGGACATTTGAATGGTTCTGGAATTCTCTTTCCTTTTTAAAAACTTACTATGAAATTTAAATTTCTGGCTGTGGTGCGCTATTTTTATGGAAAGATAGAAACATTTAAAAATGTTGCTACTGTTTTCAAAGATTTCAGTCAACAATTCGCTTGACTAACAGATATTTCTTGAGCTCTTTTTGTGACTAATACATTGTCCATCTGTTGGCAGAAAGGCAGATCAGTAAGGAGCTGAGCATGGTTTCTGTACTCCAGACTCTGCCTTTACCAGAACAGACACCGAAGCACTGGTTGTTGAATTATACAGTGCAATGAGTACATTAATAAATAGTGCTCATCATTTGTGAATGCATTAAGAGAAGAAAGCCTGTGGGTTGTTTTTTTCCCTGCTGCATCTCTGGAGGCTGGGAGAGTGGCAAGTGTATAGTGGATACTTGGCATACTCTTGTACAGTGAATGGCCCAATGACCTTGTGGTGTGTATTCAGTTAGCATAATGGGAACCTAAGGGAAGAACTTCAATTTGGTTTGGCCAATCAAAGAAGGCTTCCTGGAACAGGTGGTATTTTAATTGGTTATAAAAAGGAAGAACCATAATAAACAGGAAATGACATGGAGTCTTCTAAAGGTGTTTTAGAAGTTCCAGAGGTGTAGTTGTAGTGGGCTGTTATAGGGAAATTTCAAGAAGTCAGCTTGTTTCTTTGTTGAATGGAGAGTGAAAGGGATATTTTAGAAAAATTAATCTAGAGAAATTGTATCAGAAGCATTGAAGAAGGGGACCTTGGAAGCACAGATTGATGAGGCTTAGTAATGAAAATGAGTTGATGAAGGAAAGGAAGGTGTCCAGGATGGTGATGATCTTGAGTTTTACTGACTGGATAATAGTAAAAGCACAAACAAAAACAAGTCGGAAGGAAAAGTAGCATTTTGGGGAAGACTTTTATATGTCAAATCTCTTTGTGTTTAAAGTAACAGGGACAGTTCACTGTGGACTGTTTGTGTTTCACACAAACACATCATACTGGACTGGAGAGAGATCTTGCAGATTGAATTATTAGTTAGACTCAAAATCACTGTTGTGATTTTACCAATAAGAAAGGTAACTAGGTTCTAGAATAGCCCTCAATAACACAATCTGTTGCCCAGACATGGAGCAGGGTGGCAGATAACAGAGCCATTCACAGTGTTTCAAAAGATACTTAAATAGTAGTTCTTCATTTGCAGTGATTTTTTCTATTTTAAATTTGAAGAACTATTTGTACAGATGGTTGCAGGTATCATCTGTGTTGTATAAAAACATTTGTTCGCTTGTTTGTTTATTTTGGTACCAGGAGTTAAACTGGAGCTTGCCAGGGAGTTGCTTATACCCTTGAGCTATGTCCCCAGCCCTTCTTCCATTGTCTTTACCTGTGCAGTGTACTCTTGACTCATATGAGTGAAGACAGTCTGATTGTGCCTCCCGAAGGAACATTAGGACTTTTTGTCTGCCCTGTCATAGTGTCTTTGCGTGCCTCTATTTAGACAGTTCTGTATGGTTGCCAGGGAGTTGAACTTTTCTCCTGGTCCTGAACACTGCACATGTTCCTAGACTTCCGGTCATGGGCTGTGGGTGGGGCTCCACCGGCACCCTCTCTGCATGGCTCTTAACCCTTTCCTTTTCCTGCCTGGGTTGCTGCTAAGAAGGATGGGACGGTCGCAAGTAGAATCCATCTCAAATGTGTGCATTCCAGACAAGGAGAGAGCTCTGAAGGACGGTGGGAGCCAGCTGTTGCCCTTGGCATGTCTGCTTTTGTTCTCAAATCCCTGTTACACATGAGGATAGAAAATGGTGTCCACCTCCCAGCCCATCCCCCTGGTGCCTGCCTGCTCCACTCCTCAGCTGGCAGGTGCCATTCTGGCTCGGCCCTCTGGAGCCATGAGTGATCTTCCCACGCTGCTCTGGTGTGAATGCCTGTGGATTCCATGCCTTCTTTGCCTCTAACCATCTGCTTTTCTGGGCCCAAACTGATTGGAGGCAGACGGAGTGCTGAGTAGATGTGAGGAGGAGGAGCCCCTTATTTCCTTCCCCTGGTGAAAGGAAAGAGGAAGAGAGTGGCTGAAAATGAGTAGTATGAATATGGTGAGCCTTCAGGAATATGGTGAGCCAGCTCTTTCATAGTAACAGGAAATACGGAACATAGTACTTAATATGATACTCAGTACAGTACTCAGTAACAGGAAATGTAGAACAAAGTACTCAGTATAGCACTTAGTATCGTACTTGTAGTAACAGGAAATACAGAACACAGTACTCAATATAGTACTCATAGTAACGAAATACAGGATACAGTATTCATAGTAACAGGAAATACAGAACACTACTCAATACGGTACTCAGTACAGTGCTCATAGTAACAAGCAATATGGAACACAGTATTTAATATGGTACTCAGTACAGTACTTAGTAACAGGAAATGTAGAACAAAGTACTCAATACAGTACTAAGGATCGTACTTGTAGTAACAGGAAATACAGAACATAGTACTCAATATAGTACTCATAGTAACAGGAAATACAGGATACAGTACTCAGAGTAACAGGAAATACAGAACACAGTACTCAATACGGTACTCAGTACAGTGCTCATAGTAACAGGAAATACGGAACATAGTATTCAATATGGTACCCAGTACAGTACTCATAATAACAGGCACTATAGAACAGTACTCAATAAGGTACTCAGTATAGTACTCAGCACAATATTCATAGTAACAGGCAGTATGCAACACAGCACTCAATAGAGAACTCAGTAGAGGACTTATAGTAACAGGAAATATGAAACACAGTACTCAATACAGTACTCAGTACCATACTTGTAATAGGAAATGCAGAACACAGTACTCAGTACAGTATTCATAGTAACAGGAAACATGGAACACAGTATTTAAACCTGGCCTATTGCTAGCTAGGAAGCAAGTGACCATAAAATAGTAACATCAGGAAATTTTACCGTTAACTCTAATCCTTCCTTGAAGGGTTTTCTGTTCTTCCATTGCCGTGATAGCAATGAAACGAGAAGTGCTGGTCTTCTGCTAGCAGCTGTAACTCTGTAACTGTCTTCAGCGGGTGCTGGGAGTTTAACAGCAACCTCTGTTTAGGGCAAGCATTTGAAGATTCAGTGAGCTGAAGTCAGGAGATTGTAGTGAAAGCTTGCTTACGTCCTGCAGCAGTGGAGAGGGAGGAGACCCAGGTCTCCTGGGCACATTCCCAAGGCTGAGGCCCTACCTGCTCTCTGATAGTAGCTGTTAGCCTTGGCTGAGAGAGGAACAAAACTTCCCTGTGAAAATGGGAAATTAGCTCAAAAATTCCTTCCAGATTGGGACTAAGGAACTACCTGAGGTTCAGCCTGAGGTCTTCAGGAATAGGCAGGCGCCTGCTTCTGCAAACGCCACGTGAAAAGTTGCCCACTGTTCTTGAGTGGTGGATCTAACTTGCCAGGCCGAAGGACGCTTGCTCTTTTAAGCTAACCGAACCAGCTGACCCCTGCATGGCTGAGTGCTGTGGGGATACCAGCTCAGTGACCTCTCTTCTCCTCTGTTGTGGAATGTAGGTGACAAGAACGGAGGGGAGCCTGATGACGCTGAGCTGGTAAGACTGAGTAAGAGGCTGGTGGAGAATGCGGTGCTCAAGGCCATGCAGCAGTACCTGGAGGAAACCCAGAACAAAAAGCAGCCCGGGGAGGGGAGCGTGGTGAAAGCGGAAGAGGCCGGTGGCAGTGGCAACGACAGTGCTAACAACAGGAAATGAGGCTGGAACTGGGGTCCAGCTGCCGGTGGACCGCCTCCCTCTGCCCCGCTGCTAAGCCTGGACGCTGACTCGGCATGTGATCTTTGAGTGTCTCTTGTCCCGTCTGGGATACAGCCTAACGCGATCGATCCATCCATGTGTTTGCATTTCTGAAACACAGCACAAGTGAAGTGGAGTGCTTGGGGCCGGCAGAGGAAATGAGTCTATGGAAGAGGAATGGACCTGGTTTCCCTGGCCCTTGGCTGTGGACAGGGAGCGCGGGGGACCTGCCTCCTGGACCCCTCGGCCGGGAGAAGCCTGGCCGTGAGGAGTGCGACACTGCCACTTCTGTCCTGTAGGGCATTCAACTGCTTTTATCTGAGGCCAAACTCACACACAGCTATCAAGTGCAAAGTTTAACTCTTCACTGTTGAATTTATCTCCTGTCCGTAAGGTTTTGTGTTTGTCCTCCGTGTGCCATCACTATGCACTGATCTTCATTTCTAGTAATTTATGTTTCATGTAAATGATATATTTTTGGCAAAATGCAACTTTTTCTATAAAATTTTAAAGGTCTTTTTTTAAACCTCATTTTGATAAGTCAGTGTACCATGCTTAGTATTTTTCATTGACATTTGTACTTTAAATGTATTATATACTTTTCCCCTTCCTCAGGCAAGAAACCTTTTGGAACCCAAGACTTAATTAAAGAAGCTCTGGAACAAGAAAGGATGGGTCTGAAGTCCAAAGTGAAACAGATAAAAGAACTTTTATTAATGCCTGAGACTCAGGCCAAAATTCGAAGGGAGCTTTTTGAAGGAAGACTCATGAATAACAGTAACCAAGCCAACGATGTTGTTCTCAGTGCAGCTCTGACCTGAAGCTTCCCATGCTATCGAGGTAGCGTAGTTTATAAAATGTATTCAGCTTGTTCAGTAGCTTGTTGGTAAACACCAGCATGTTCTGGCAGTTTCTGTGTAACAGCAAACTAATCTTGGGTGAGGAATTAACAATTTCTTGCCAAAGAAAACTGATTTTGCCGTGGTCTTTTCTGAGCTCATCTCGTGTGTTAGGATATTTGTTTCTGAAGTAATGAGTCATTTTAAAGAAATGACTTTTTAATGAGCTGTTGTGAGATGTTCACCAGGTCCTTGAAGATAAAAAAGACAGTGTGAAAAATCATCTGCAGATAACAAAACGAAACCAACGACAGTGTTTTAAGGGTCACTCGCCTCCTGTCAGCAAGACTGTTTCTGACTCAAAGGAAACATCGGTCCAGGTGTGTCTCTGCCTTTAGTGTTACTTTAATGAGAATTTGAATGTTTTTTGAACATTAGTACTTGAATGAACATTTGTAAATGTAATAATTGCAGTCACTGGTTAATGTTTTATAATATCCACGTGTATTATTTTTCACTGATCAAAAATGTAGTTTGCTGTGTCCTTTCTTATTGAATAAATGTTTAGGATTCTTATTTTCTACTTTTCTGGAGATAAACCCTAGGTTTTACTGTAACCCTTGTAGTTTGAGTTTGTTTGCACTGATTCATTTTTAAAGAGCATTCTTGAAAAATTTCCCCCCCGTGATGGTCATTAGTAACAGCTTTTTCTGTAGTCGCTGTAAAATTGCTGCTACTAATGGATCATGATGGGGAGGAAGTGATTGGAGATCAAATATGTAATCCTTCAAATATAAAATCCAGTTTGCTCATGGATTTTAGCTATTTTTTCATAAGTAAATTATACGACATTTATTTATAAATGAGTTTATGCATTTTCATGCCTCTTAATAAATGTTTTGTTTTCCCTTGTTGCCTTTCCTGTTTTTTTCCTCACTCTTGGAAGTTGTTGGATCCACATTGGTAAACAGAAACCGGGAATGGAAGCTCTGACAGTTTCAGTGTTTCTTCACCTTTATGCACCCACCTTCATGCCTTGGAGCAAAACCAATCATAGTTCCCACTGTTAAGCTCTTGCTAAGCCCAGGCTGTGTACCAGGTGATCTTGGCACAGCTCGAGGTTAGATTTCTCCCCTTGAGTGATCCTGTTAGGAAGTAATTAGTACTTTTACAGATTCAGAAACTGGAACCCTTTATGGTTAAATGGCCCATGGTCATAAAACTAATAAAAGATAGGGCTAAATTTAAACCCAGACTTGCTGTGCTTCAAAGCTGATACTTTCCCCACACAGCACTTCCTGTCTCCACCATGTACATCTGTACATCGTATTTCACAAATTGAGGGTGATGAAACTGGCTTCCTTGAAGCCCCGAGTTTCTGTGACTCTAGATAAGAATGTCAGCTGGTATGATAGAACTGGAACACAAAAGCCCAGACATTCAGTTTCTGGATTAAGGATTCTGATCCTTATCAATGACATCTCCATTGAAACAGGTTTACAAAGACAATGGTAGGGATAAAATAAATTTCCTGCGTTTTCCAATTATAAGATCTTACAAGACATTAAATCTAAATGTGGAATCTGAAATTTTCCAAATGACTTTATCCCCACTCCTCAGAATGACAGAATAATTGCTCTTTGGGTTGTGCATGCAGACCATATTGTTCTGAGTTGACACAGACGTGACGTCACCTATAACAGTTTTATCTGACATGATGTCAGCGCTGTCTTAGGCTGGTCCCAGCTTCTAGATCTGGGTCCACCATTGACCTATGATTTTGAGTAAACCAGTTCAGATTTCTGAGCCTCACTTCCCAGTTGTACTTGGGAATAGTTTGGTCAGGTCATTTCAAGGAGTCTAGAGTGGGACTCTCCAGGGCTGTGCACAATACCTGTCACTCTGCCTCATGTCACCTGGCTGGCACAGTGAGAGGCCTTCCCATTAGGGCCTCACTGTCCCATCTGTCCACGGTGGAGGACTATTTCTCAGCATGCCCGTCTGCTGCACCATCTTGTCCTAGAGCCCGCCAATCATGGACTGAAACCTCAACAAACTGTGAGCTAAATAAACCTTCCCTCTTTTTACTTTAGTTATTGGGTATTTTGTCTCACCAATGAGAAAACTTACAAAGACAGTCCTACTCATAGAATCTTAGCTTGCATCAGCCCTGTTCTTAGCATGGACTGTTGTCCCAGAGATTGGGAATCCTCATCTGTAATACTAGGGATCAGAAGGGTTTCAGATTCCAGATGTTTTTAGGTTCTGGAATATTGGAGAGCTTGAATAGAAGATCCATGTTCAAACATGCAATTTATTTGTTTCCTACACATTTTAAACACATAGCATGCAGGTAATTTTATAGAATGTTTTAGTGCACCTGTGTTTTGTACATAACCTGTCAAATGAGGTCAAGTGTGAATTTTCAACTTTTGGTGTCAAATAAAAAGTTTCAGATTTTGAAGAATTTCAGATTTTGGATTTTTGGATTTGAGGTACTCAGTGTTTATTAGATAGATAGATATTAAAGATTCAGATTATTTACTGCAAAACCCTAAGTGGGTAACCTCCTAGGCATTCCATAAGGTAGCAATGACAGCAACCTGACTTCATCTCAAGACTGTGACCGGGGGCTGGGGATTTAGCTCAGCGTCATAAGCACCTGCCTTGCAAGCAGGTGGTTGTGAGTTCGATCCCCGGTACCGATAAAAAGGAAAAAGACAAAAAAAGACTGTGACCGCTGCAGTATGTCTGTACACTCAACCCAGATGCTTCACACAGCTACCACGCTATGTAACAAATTACAAGTGTGCTTCATTCTACAGTCGAAGACAGTAAATCTGTGGTGTCTCCCAACTGATGAATAGTTAACCAATTGTCATCTGCTCTTTTTAACACTTTCAAATACCTCCTACAATAACTTTATCTTTAAACAAATTGTGGATGCATTCTTGATTTCCAACTTTCCCAAGTAGATACAATTCCTCTAAGAAATAAAAAGTGCAGGGCCGGGGATTTAGCTCAGCGGCATAAGTGCCTACCTTGCAAGCATGCAGTCCTGAGTTCAACTGCTGGTACCAAAAATTAAAATAAAATAAAGAAATAAAAAGTGCAACTTGCTTAAAATAAAACAAGAAAATTACTTTCCAGGTCCCAACATGTTTTGTAGCAGCACACATGCTAAGCAGACAAACCCCCAGATGATTTAATACACAGTAAGAATGGGTATTAGAGCAATTCGCTCACAGTCAGTGCATTTAAAATAGATTCTTTCCCGGCTGAGAGTACTGGGGATAAGAAGACTCATTTATCAGGTCACAGGAGAGCTTCTAAAGACGGGCACTATTGTCATCCACAGTGCCATATTCTGAGAGCCACTACTTATACCTATAGTTATAACTGGTAACTTCAGATAATTTGGGATGATTTCAGAATGAAAACTGCATTTCTGTACATATGCCTTCATTCAGCACTTAGTGGAAAATTGTCACATTCTATTAAGACAGAACAGCAAAGATAGCAATAAAACCGAGAAACTAATTCATTGATTCCGGTTAACCTGTTACTTTCTCTTTAATGATTCAGATTATTTCCAAAAAGCTATCATGCGACACTGCCCTCTGTTTTACCTGATAAAATGAAAGTGACAGTCCTGCTTACTGAACTTAGGCAGCTGTATGGCATATGCAGTTCTTGTTCTTTCCTGACCATTTTACAAATTGGTACAGTGCTGCAAATTATTCCCTATGCTTCCTGCAGAATTCACCAGAGCCCTAACCAAAGGGCTCTGTCGTTTCTTTGATTCTTTTTTTCCAACCACATACATTTTTTTTTACCCATAGTTTCACAAAACCTTTTGAGTGTACACATGTGGGATAATATATAAAGTTGTGAGTGGTGAGGGGGACAAAGAAATGAGAATCATT